GAGGCAAGAGACTCGCTTGAGCTCAGGAGTTGGAGGTTGCTGTGAGCTGTAATGCCACGGCACTCTACCCAGGAGGACGGCTTGAGGCTCTGATTCAAATAAATAAATAAGTAAATAAATAACCCATCTGCTGACACTTTGGTACCAAGCAAATACCCTCTTGGGTATTTAGCCTGAGTTAGCAAACACACTGGCAGATGCAAAGTGGTGATTTCCTAGTTCTGTCTTTCCGCCTACATTTAGTAGTAGGTATTCTTCTATAAACATTTTTCCTTTTTTTCCCCCAACTGTGTCCGCATGTGTGGGTATACCTCACTATGGACTTAGGAATATTTTATTCAATGTGTTACCATCAATGCTAGTCATTATTTTTGATGTTCAAAGTGTCCCAGATTTGGTCCCTGAGAGCTGCTTCAAGGGAACAAAGCTGTCTTTTTGACGCTGTCTTTTTGACACACTCTATAAGTCTTTGAAAGTTTCCTTGCTTTCTGGTGCAAGAAATCTAGCACTTTGTACTTTCCCTATCTCAGACCTGGAAATGGTTACCTTACTCTGAGGACTAATACTTATAAATGAAGATCTAGCAATCTTTTTTTATTTATATACCTGCCTTGGTAATCATTCTTTTTGGTTTTTTTTTCTTGGTAATCATTCTTAATTGGTACACATAGATCTGCTTCAGTCTTTTCATTCTTTATTTTTAGGAGGTAGAGTATTGCTGTGCTGCCTAGGCTGGACTTGAACTCCTGGGCTCAAGCAATCCTCCCACCTTGGCCTCTGGAGTAGCTGGGATTATAGGTATTCACCATTCACCCAGCTCAGTCTTTTTTAACAATTTAACTACAATTGTTAGTCCTCTATATCCAATAGGAGACGTTCGTTTGAAGAATGTCTCCTATTGGATATTTATATACAAACAATGTAGGAAACTGAAAATGGCCCTGCAAACAATGCTTTAGTAAATATCCTTACAACACATCTTTGTACATGTGTGAGTTTAGCTCAAGGATAAATTCTTTGCTGTGGAATTGCTAAGCCAAATGGTATGGTGGATATTTTAAAAAATTCTGACATTGATTGCCTAATTGCCCTTTAAAGAACAGGGACCTTGTCTCTTGTGTTCAAGGCTGTATTTCCAGCACCAAGAACAGCGCCTGGTGCTAGTAGTTTGGTATTTGTCCAACAAATGACATCACTGTCTGGTAACTGGGGAGGTGCACTTGAGGTCAGCTCGTCTGTGTAACCTACCAGCCAGTGACAGACACCCATATCTACTCTGACTGTGGCTCCTTGTCTCTTCAGGTGTTCCACTACCTCAGCATTGTCATCTTGGCCTTTTTTATGATGGAGCTTTTCTTTAAAATATTTGTCTTCCGCCTGGAGTTCTTATACCACAAGTTTGAAATCCTGGATGCTATCGTGGTGGTGGTCTCGTTCATCCTTGACATTGTCCTCTTGTTCCGGGAGCATGAATTTGAGGCTCTTGGCCTGTTGATCCTGTTGCGGCTGTGGCGGGTAGCCCGGATCATCAATGGTGTGTCTCCTGGGTTCCTGGGAGGTAGAGGGACGGGAGAGCGGATGGGGCCCTGTTATGGGTTGGAGGCATGGCTGCTTTGTCACTCAGGGCACACGTGTGTGTGCACCCATGGTTCCCATTATGGAGGCTACTGTCTTCTTCCCCCCAACCTTCTCTTTTTCCTCAAGAGTAAAGTGAAGTGGTATGATTCAGCATCCCACCACCACCTCTGTGGCTACAAATTAAGACCAGAATGTGGGTTCTGAGAAGGAACTACCTTCTCTATTAGGTCATATTTTCATGATTATAAAAATATATTTATGGAAAGGGTTGGCTCAGCACCTAAAGCTCAGCAGCTAGGGCACCGGCCACATGTGCCAGAGCTGACAGGTTCAAATCCAGCCTAGGCCTGCCAAACAACAATGACAACTACAAACAACAACAACAAAAAAGCCAGGCATTGTGGCAGGTGCCTATAGTCCCAGCTACTTGGGAGGCTGAGGCAAGAGAATCTCAGGAGTTTTGGTTGCTGTGAGCTGTGATGCCATAGCACTCTTCTCAGGGTGATATAGTGAGACTCTGTCTCAAGAAAAAGGTTACTAGCCCCTCTTGGCTTTTGCCAGTGCATCTATCTTTTTAATTTCGTGTTTCCTAAGGGGATTTTATCAAATCCTGGCTCACCCTGGGAGGGCACTTTCCAGAAGGGAGGCAAGTAGGCTGAGAAATGCTCTGTGCCAGGTTCTTCCCCTTGACAGAGTAAAGGCACACTAACATGAGGAAGCCTTGACATCTTTCAAGTTTTCCAAATTGATTTTTTGGTGCTTCTAGAGGGAAATAACACCTATTCACTTGCAATAAGACTCTGGCTCTGAGAAGGTACTTGGGGAAATACTGTTTTCCCATATTTCAGGTAAAAATCCTGTTTCTCACACATACCCTGTGGTCCAGGGGCCTCAGTTCCAGAGAAGCCATGCTTGTGCTGTGATTTTCTATAGACACAGTGGTCACCAGCTGATCTGCTGTTCAGCTGGTAGTGACCTAGTCAGAATTGCTCAAATGCCTATCTGTGGACCTGCTGCCTCTGTCACATTTGAGGCCTTTTTTTTTTTTTTTAAATGAGAAGCCAAATTCAAAGAGTCTAGAGCACAGCCCAGGCAGGGTATTTGTTTTTGAGCTCTCCCAGGTGTTCTGTGTGTCTGGCCAGCTTTGGGAGTCCCTAAACCAGGGCCCAACACAACAGACTGTGGATCATTGTCTGGAGAAAGAGGGAGTGACAGTATGTCTCAGGCAGGCATGGCCTCTGTTGAGTTCCTTCCCTTGGCTGGCTTGTGAGTTCTGTACAGTACCCCAGGCTCCATGGCCCTCAGCTTCAGTGTGACCTGGCTGGTAAAGGACCAGGTCTGCTTTGGATGTGGAACTGTATAAACAGCTCCATCTGTGGACTTCAGGAGCTGGTTATGAGCAAGTTTAGATCTTGCGATTAAAGCTCATTAAGAACATTCATTTGGGCTCAGCACCTGTGCTCAAGTGGCTAAGGTGCCAGCCACATACACCTAAGGTGGCGGGTTCAAATCCAGCCCGGGTCCGCCAAACAACAATGATGGCTGCAACCAAAAAATGGCCAGGCGTTGTGGCGGGCGCCTGTGGTCCCAGCTACTTGGGAGGCTGAGGCAGGAGACTCACTTGAACCCAGGAGTTGGAGGTTGCTGTGAGCTGTGATGCCATAGCACTCTACCCAGGGGGACAGCTTGAGGCTCTGTCTCAAAAAAAAAGAACATTCATTTGGATTCTGTCAAAGGACTGAAACTGCTCCTGCTTCCAGGGAAAGGGAGCATTTCCCACCTGTGCTTCCACAGCATTTTGCACACTGCACCTCTATACTGATACTGGCATGAGCAGGTTCTGGATTAAGGAGCTTAACACTCATCAGTGATTATTTTTTAAGGATTTTCCAGCCATGTGGGCTAAAGAGATATACTGCATAACTGGGTACTAAGCAGCTCAGAAAGGAAACCCCAATCAGCCTAGTTCTGCTGCCTCTAAATGATGACCATCTCATATTTCTGTTGTTGTTATATTAGAAACACACTGTTACATTAGAAACTAGTATCACTGAGACCTTCATTTTTATTTCAGGGATAATTATCTCGGTTAAAACACGTTCAGAAAGGCAACTCTTGAAATTAAAACAGATGAATATTCAATTAGCTGCCAAGATCCAACACCTTGAATTCAGCTGCTCTGAGAAGGTAAGAGAACACGTGTGGGAAAATGTCTTGTTTGCAGTCCCCTCCTTCAGCTTCTGTGGTGCTCTTAGTCTGTAATACCTGTCCCTTGACTGAATCTTCCTTGTTCTCTCAGATTTGGCTTAGGCACCACATCCTTCCTGAAGAATTGCTGCCCTAGGACTCTGCCAGGTCCCTTAATGAGTGTGTCTGTCAGTGCTGCTGTCTGATGGAAGCAGGCTCCTCAGAGGACTGATTTCCACAAAGATTATAGTTTTCATTCATCTTTGTGTCTCTGGGCCTGGGATTTACTAAACGATTGTCACATCCCTGGTGGGACTCGAAGTAAATCCCCATGTTTGCTTTTCCAATAGGAACAAGAAATTGAAAGACTTAACAAATTACTGAGACAGCATGGACTTTTGGGTGAGGTGAACTAGACATGGACCAACTCCACCCCAGAGAGAAGACCCTGACTTACAGGCCTGAGCACAATGAGAGAGACAGCCACCTTTCCTGGGGCCATTTGGTGGGAGGTTTGGTTTGATGCCACTGCTGCATTCTCGTCCGGCTTGGATTGTGGGTAGACATAGTCTTTTGGAAGGCATTTCTTCCTCGGTGTGACGAAGAGCTGTCCACCCCATTGCCACCACAAAATGTATCAAATTATATTTTCCCATATTGAACATTTTTCCTTTGCTTAGAAATGAGAAATGAAGCTGGATCTACTAGATGTATATAAAGTTTAATCTCATCAAATGTATAGGTTTCAAATTTCACATGGAGCTGGCATATCCTTTCATATGAGTATTCTGAAAGAAAAAGAAGCTACTTTAGCTACCAGCCCTTTCTATAAAACTCTTATTTCCAAATTCTTCTAAACAGCTTTGCCTGTCACAGTTTCCCCAAAGAGTGTATTTCCCAGCTGCATCACCCAGATTCTAGCTGGCACCACCTAGTTCTGCCACCTGACAACATTTTTCTCAATTACTGTACAATTACTGTTTAAAATAAACTCTCTCCTTCTCGTGGGCCCTCCTACTATATTCTTTCCTCTGTGGTATCCCCTACCAGCTGCCATTTGGAGAGCTAGCTAGCTACAGTGCCTGGTACAGAAATGGCAATTAGATCCAAGACTGCACTATAATTAACATGATATTTGGGGAACAATCCCCTCCAGAGGCTTTGTACTCTACTCACATGATTTGATACAATATTTTGCTATTTTTGTACTTATTTCGGTGGGACCTGAAAGAGAACCTATACTAAAAACAACAAAGATTTTAAAAATAACTCAAAGGCAGAGATGAGTAAATGGCAAGACCTTCCCACACCTATGCTATTTCAAGATCTGTTCTCTTTACCATCTCCCCGAAGACAATTTGGTTTCTGTATGTGACCAGGTGTTCAGTACTGGAAATGACCAAGACCAGATGTCTCCTCATTCTAAATTAAAACCATATAGAAGTAAATTCCCAAAAAGAAAAAATTTAGGAGGAAAGCAAGTGGAGAGGGATAGTATGTTGGTGTGGAGGCAATCTCAAGGGTTAAGAGACATCATGCAATGTCTCTGAGGGACTTCTGGCCCCATATGTACACTATTATAAAGGTGAGGACTAGAAGTGGGGGTACAGTTTCCTTAAGTAACAACTTACGTCAAACAAATGGGAAGAAGAAATTAAAGGGCAGCCTGGCATTGATGGTTGGCAGAGCACGGAAGCCTGCCTCTGCAGGTGCAGACACGTCAACAAAAGTAACCACAGTGGAAATAAGAATCGTCTTTTCATTTCCTGCATTGGTCTGTAATAAAAAGTCAGAAATACAAGCCCCCATGTGGTATTTTAGCAGGGTAACAAAGATGAGATATTTTCTAATCTCTTCCACAACTCAACCACTGTCAGTTTATGAATCTGATGGTTATGAGAGCACTTAATCGGCCTTTAACTTGGATGAAAGGAACAGTGTCCTAGGTTGTCCTAATTAACATATCAATATCTGTGGGGAGTGGGCTGTGGCCGGCAGGGCGCCCACAGCCTGGAAAATGCTCAGGGAGTGACCCCCAACCACTTTTCCTCCCTTAACATTATTTTCACCTGCCAGAAGTCACATAGTCCATGCATACTTTCCTTGCTATCTGCAAGCACACAGTTTTTCCTCTTTAAGGATGATCTCTACCCCATGTGTTAAGATTTATGCAACCTTGTTATAAATAAAGCTGTTGCCGCGGTTCAGGGGCTGGCTGCAGTCATCAGCTGTGTCAGCCCTCCCGACATCATCCTATTTCGGGTCTCCTGTCTTTCTTCACCTCTCCCTGTCTTTCATGGCTTTGTTTCTCAATTTCCCACCAGGTCAGCTCTCCCCACTTGCGCCGGGTCGTGAGAGGTTTCTCTCTCATGCCAATACACGACAAATATCATTCATAACTCAAATTTCATGGGAATTTAAAGATCAAATCTAAACAGGAATGTCAATGTGAGCAGAACCATTGTCAGTGGAGTTGTTTTGTTCCCTAAAGTAAAAGATCAAAAATGACTTTGTTAAATAGTTTTAAGAACCCAGATTTACATTGTAATCTTTTCCATAAAATAATAAATTTCACCTATCACACTTGAGTTTTGTCCTATATCCAAACTAAAGTTAGGCCTACCTTAGGAAATGAGGATGAAATTAGATTTGCAGTTACATTGACTATCCTGGCCTGTGGGTTTAGTAAGGAGCCGTATTTAGTCCACTTCACTTCTATAACCAAAGCCACTGGGAGCTGGCAAGAATCCTGCAAAATAAAACGGCATTAATCAATTTGAATGTTACACAACTGCAAGCCAAACTTAATCTGTAGTTCAGAGTTTTAATTATAAAATGTTTCACATATTACAAAATGTTCTGAACAAGAGAATGAATAGACTGTAGAAGTTCAGATAAAAACAGCTTAGAAAAAGCTGTATTTTAAAGTACTCAATGCTCCCAAAATATTTTAACACCTAAAGCATAATTTTTCCATCCCCTCCTATTTCTAAAAAGGCCAGCATCACCTGGGCTTGTGTGGTATAAGGCCAGTACCCAACTGTAGAACCTTCAGGGCCTTAACTGCTCTAACTTCATCTACCTGTTTATATCTACCTCAGACTTCAGGAGAGAAACTAACTGGTAGGAGAGAGAATGGAATTATTAATGGACAGAAATTAGGCCTGGTTGCATATCACATTAAAATGCACTGAGGAAATTTAAGTGCTTTCTTTTCATTTATCTGATTTAACCAATTGGCAATGAAGATATAACATTTGGGTATCCAGGCAGTGTCTGTATGTTGTCAAAAAATATTAACAACTCTTCATCTGCACTGAGGACACTGAGCCACAGTGGAGCTGCCAAGCTCAGACAGGATGCTCAGGTCTAAGGGTTTTCCCCAGGACCTTTGTTTTGGGGAGCCCCAAGGGGAAAATGGGCAAGTAGGCCTTCCAGACCTCCTCCTTGCTCTGCAGTCCCTTTGGTTGGCAAATGTGGTAACTGTTAAAGCTGCAGGCTGGGAGATGGGGACTCCCTGGTACTATTTTACTTCCGTGACTGTTTACCATTTTGCCATAACAAAAAGTTTTTAAATACATCTTTTCAGGACATAGGCCTGCTAAATTTGGTACCTGCCAAAAAGGTACTGATGGAATTCCTTAGCTTGGAACTGCCTTTTATAATAAAAACCTTGGAGGCTGAGCAATCCTTGCAGATGTCCTGTTATTAGAAGGTACAGTGCACAGGTGGGGTAAGCTGAGCATAGCAGATGCTCTGCACTGGCTTCTACCCGGGTTTCCTGTGGGGTTGGTGCAAAACCCAATGCAGGCCCTGTGAGTGCCTGGGACCAGCACAGACCTGGGCAATGCTCTGTGCACACTGCTGCTCTCCTCTCACCTGAGTCTTCCTTTCTGAGGGGGAATAATAACTGGATGTCTTCACCCACCACCAAGAAGTCAGAAGAAATTTGCCTATTTCACTGGGGCAGCAGAGCTGAGCCAAGACTCCAACAGTAGAGTGGCAGGGACTGAGTAATTCAGGGACTTGGTGGGGAGGGCAGGCTTGGAGCTTTGAGCCAGTCCTCAGTCACTGTGCCCATGCTATAAATACACTGAGCGGATAATGAGAGGTTGAAGAAACTGTGACAAGAAAAAGCTGGGCAATTAGAGGATAAGATGGAGAGTACGCCTTCAGTGATGGGACCAGCCCACACTCTGACTGTTAAAACAAAAGGGAAAGGTGGGCAGAGGAATCACATGTGACCAGGAAACCTATTTGTAGGAATGTCAGCTTCCATTAAACTCTTTGGGAGCTGTGAGAGCTCTCACGTGTGGGCTACCTTCATAGACTGGAGAACAACAGATGGGAGAAATCTCAGTCTTTGAGACAGGCCTCACAATTGTCTATCATATCACAGATGCCTAAAAAGGGGGCTCAGGGAACACCAACAATCACAACAGTGATCCTAGGATGATAGCACCATGTCAAGGCCAGATGAACGTCACCTCATTTAACCCTCTCCACTACCCCATGTAGTTGGTACCATGACTTTCATTCCCTTTACACAGATAAGGAAATAGGCTCAAATCCATAAAATTGCTGGTCAAAGGTGACATTGCTAACGATGTGCAAAATCAGTATTAAAAAGTCAGGCCGGCTCGGCGCCTGTGGCTCAAGCGGCTAAGGCGCCAGCCACATACACCTAAGGTGGCGGGTTCGAATCCCCAGCCCGGGCCCACCAAACAATGATGGCTGCAACCAAAAAATGGCCAGGCGTTGTGGCGGGCACCTGTAGTCCCAGCTACTTGGGAGG